TATGTCAGTTAATACTAGAGGCGTAACTGATGGAAAGATTCATGACTACGCCCAAATTTGTTGAATGGTTCTTTTCGTTAAATTTGTTTTCATTCGGATCCTTTCGAATTGAACAAAGTAGAAAATGATGTAACATAGCATTCTGATAAGAAATCAAACAAATACATGCACACAAACTAAATTCTAAGTTTCATCGTATCATAATTTACTAGCTGATGATCGAACAATTATACTCGGACTCATAAGTAGTAAATATTTCGTCGCACAGATCATAGTAACACAGGATGATTAGCATCACGTTATCTGTTTTTTAATATAACAGGATAAAAAATACAACTAATAGTATTCACTGAAAAAATAATGTTTCAATCAATAAGATACAAAAAAACATGCTAATAGTTAATATTGTGTTCATAATACCACATTGGCTAAAATACGAAGAACATAAAGATATTTTCAATAGATTGTCATTTATTTCGATACTTAAGTTTCGCTAAAAATAGTGTAAGTTTGGGTCAACTGAAGACTCACACCCACACCCTCAATTATAAACGTTTTGTTTTTAAAATTTTTTCTATTTGAAGTTTCTTTTTTCGGATGCAAGATTTCTTCTATCTGAGATTTCAAATTTTCAACGTTCCGCGTTCAATCGTTTTAATTTCGATGCTTTTCTTTCAATGTTTCTTCGGTCTATGTTTTCCCATCATGCCGTTTCCTCTATGCAGACTCAAAGGCAGGACACTATCAGATGTTAAGAAAAACCGTAATACAGGTTTTCACCCGAGTGTCTACAGATGAGCACCTTGTCTGTGACAACACATCTCAAGTGGCAGCCGTGTTTTTCTATATTACTAACCTACTGTAACAAAATATGAAGGATGTAGATATATTATCTGACATTACTACATAAACAGATAATAACCAATAAAGAACGTGAGACATAATCGATAATATGTAGATTACAGTTAGAAATAAGTAACGATATGTTTCATTTGCTTGTTATAGTTTTTCTTTTCGATATATTTACCATTATTCTCATAATACAAATTCACACGAGTCTATTTTATGGCCATTGTTCGTTATAATGATGACGAGACCACATTCGATAATGATTTTAGTTACGGGAAAGAAATTTTCAAACAATTAATTTATTATCAGCTACGTTTCAAGAGTGAGAAAAAAAAAGGCAAAATTTTGCAACCCATGATACTCTGATAAGAAAAGGTAGCGTCACTGTGAATACATATAACTCGTTCTTTCTTTCTGTTTGTTTAAATAACAGTACTACTTTGTAAAGAAGAAACATGAAAAAAAAAAAATACTCCGCGGCGGGGAATCGAACCCCGGTTTCCCGCGTGACAGGCGGGGATACTAACCACTATACTACCGCGGACATTATACTTGCAAACTTTAGAGTTCCACAATATAATCTTTGTTCATCAGTTTCAAGATTATTTCGACATTCAAGCAAAACTATTAGTGAAGGGAAAATGAAGAATAATTTTAAGAAATATGATATTCTTCTTTTCACAGTAATAATAAGTAAACGTTAATTGCTTGCCATTCATGTGAACTAGATTTCATATGGAATCGTATGTATAGAACAAAAAGTAAAAATCTTCATCGCAAAATCACCTGTCTAATCGATGCTCAAGTTTTGTCTTCTTTTTGCATGTTTGTGTCTGCAAACATACGTTGAACCAGAGCAAATGATAACATCTTTATATACACTGTAAAAAACGAGTATCATAACATTTTGGTAATCCATAAATGAGTATGCTCTAAACTCGTCTTTGACGCGATAAACCAACACACTTAACCATTATGCTACTGCAGCCAGTCAATTCTATTCTTAATCACGTAGGTATTTTGCTCTACTCAATTGTTTCTTTTCTCTGGTAATAATAAAAACTATCTTTTAATAACCGAGAGCAATTCTGACGAGTAGAAATGAAAATATTTACATGTATTTTGTAAGCATAAATGAAGAGAGGTAATTCTATTTTCATGTGCATTTGTAATAAGTCGATGTGCTTTTTATTTTAAATTAAAATTCTAAAAAATCGTTCTAGTTTCGGGTGATTCTTCAATGTCGATTACTTTATGTATAAAAATGAAATAATTACATCGAATGAAGAAGCAAGTAGATTCATTTCTGGTTGTACATTTTAAGACATACAAGATTCGCCAACATACATTAATCATGACATAATAGTGATGTACATATTTTAGTAATCAACTTTTTATTTTCTGTAACAATTATAAATATATAAATGAATATAATGTGTAACTCTTATACTTGAAATTTTCATGGTCAAAACTGAAATAAATGTCTTACTCAAAAAAAAGAATTATTTAGTGGGTATACAAATTTTTTAACCTCTATCGAATTTATTTTGTTATCTTGTATTGTATCACCACTTAGAAATTCTGCTCTGAACCAACACATATGTTCTTCGTAGCAAATAGCAGGATCTCGATGATACATATCAGGATATGTACTCTTTGGTATATTTGTAGGATCCGAATAATTTAGGCTTAGTGAAATATGAATCCGAGCTAGGATTGATTTGAAGCCAGTGTGGGTGTGTGGGTATTAATTGTAACATCCATACTCAGAACAGAATAAATTGAGGTTTGGTACAGTAGCCAATGATTGAGGAAAGATTGACGTGATATTTATTTCTGGTTTCGATGAAAAAGAAGAACCATGACTAATGTCATTTTTTTTCAGATCTAGTAGACGAGATTCTAATTGTCCAACATAATAATCTATGCTCTTAAATGGAAAAATATGGTATGTTTATATGGTAAAAATTCTGATCCTATTTCTGTGTCGCTGAATTTATTTGAAATCAAAATGAAAGATAAAATTAAGTTAAGTAAAATGTTAGCAGAATAAATGAAGATGCTTATTGTATTAGAGGAAAAGATCAATCTCTTGTTTCATCCATGTTCCTCCGTCAACATACTGAAGACATCGTTGATGATAAGTATTAATCCACATCATTTCTTCTGGATTAAGAAGATTGACATCGATCAATGGACGAGAATAAGGCAACAAAGTTAATGGGATGAAATGAATCAAATGTTGATCATCTTCAATGATCTCATAGACATTCTCCAGTCGAATACCCCATTTTTCCTCGAAGTAAATTCCAGGTTCAAGGGTGACCACCATTCCGGATCTGATGGGAATCGAAGTAGCAAAAGAATGATTATCACTAATGGAGATGCCACCTTCAATGACTCCCATTCCATGTGATACTCCATGACCGAATGAGAGATGTTGATTTGAATCGCTAATAGAAACGAATTGCGCTCTCAACAATGAATGAATATAACGTCCAGTGAGAGTGTCATCAGATGGGAATCCAGTCATTTCAATGAAAAGAATCGCTTTTAATAAGAGAGTATAACATTGAATTTGTTCTTGTGTCGCTTGTCCGAAATGAAGAGTGCGTGTCATGTCGGTTGTTCCATCGAGATAATTGCCACCACCATCGAGATAAAACAAGTCGCGAGCAATGATTTTCTTCGTTTTTACAGCGAAAGGTGAATATTCTATTAATGCTGTAGTCGTTGCTGAAGCGGAGATCGTATCAAATGCGATGGAAATGAAGTCTGCTTGTTCTCGTTGTCGACTCTCGAGATATTTAGCGACATCGAGTTCAGTAACATTCGAGGCGTCATTCTCCATATTTTTTTGAAGCCATTCGAAGGTTTGGCACACGGCAGCACAATCACGAAAGTGACATTGACGAAATCCTTCCAGTTCTACGGAATTTTTTATCTCTTTCATCTGTTGAATCGGCGAACGAGAGACACGCACAGCAGTAGATGGAAGATGATGAAGCACATTAACAGATGTGCGTTCATCGAGCCATATATCTTTATCCTTCAACGTCGAAAGAAAGTCGAAGAAACTTTCGTACGGACGAATTTCATAAGGAAGATCCTGCAAAAGAAAAGATTAATAAGCACAAAATAAATATACATGAAGACTGGCCTCATGAGGATTGTCAGTGAACAGCCAGAGTTGATCACATGAGACAATGGCAAAACTATAGAAGAGTGGATTACATTGCATATCATTGCCACGAAGATTAAGAAGCCACGCTATTTCATCCATAGCCGTAATTATAAGAGTATATTTCTTCTCTCCATCACTTAAATAGTTTTGTCTTAATTTCTCCACTTTTTCTGTACTTGTTTGTCCGGCAAAGCGAAGTTCATCCAATGACCAAATGGGTGTTAATGTTGGTCGTTCACTGGATGTTTCTTTTTTGGAAATGATATCAATCCAATTGCTTGATGAATTGATCGGATAAAGACTCGATTTCAAAGAGGAGAATTGTTCAATAATAAAAAGAGGCGTCAAACGAGGATCATAAGCAATTCTTTTCAATGACAATCGTTGACTGTTAATCAATTGGACAAGGTCATCGACAATAGTCCACACGTCAGTATTGACTTCCGCTTTTGCCAATAATCGATAATTCGGTGGAGCCTGAAAGAATGCTCCGTCATGTAAAGTGACAATAGCTAATCCACATTGTGCTTGGCATTCTGTGATCCAATTGAGACGACGATTCTCTTGTGACAATGAATAGAATGTGTAATGACCATCACTATCCGTGATTAGATATGCATCACATTCATCTTCTTGGATTAACGCACGTAATGCTTCTACACGACTCATTACACACTTTGATTCTTCTAATGTGGAAATCTTCACTTTCAATGTTTACTAATTTTTACTTGTATTGATTAATTGAACTGATCTGCAAATATTCAACATTTATAACAAAGAATACTTTTATCTCTTTGTTACGCATTTCTAGGTACACAAAAAAAAACTGTGATTCATATTTTTAGACATTTCGAGGATTCAAAAAGAAGTCTTAATGAGAGAAATTCGCTTACAACTGAAGAGAAGATCATATCTATGTGCACGATATCTAATTGACTGGTATGAAGTTTTGCACAAAATTCAATCTAAAAGATTCGGCTCGCATAACACCCAAGATAAAGGTGGTTTTTGTTGATAGAGAAAAGAACAGCTCAATGTCGCATAAGAGATACTCATTCAATGATAAGAACTCACGACTGCTCTGAAAGAAGTAAGCTCTGGGCGATAAGAAAAATAATAGAGAGAGAGAGAGAGAGAGAGAGAGAGAGAGACTCTATCACCTTACGAAAAATGAAGTTGTGAGTGTGGGCGAAAATGTGACGGTTAAGGTGATAATATCAAGGTGAGGATGTCAGTGATAAAATGTATGTTGATGGATAAGTTAGAACCTTCAATGAGCTTCTACGCTCACACATCTTACACTAAAAAACAAGGTACCGTACAGAACTTCAGGAGGTTCAATGAAAAACAAATATTTTTTGCTTATTGTTAAAATCTGACAAGCCTTAAAAGGCATTTTGGGGTGTCGATGTAAGAGTGAATGAGCGAAGAGAAAACTCACACCCATACCCAACCCAACATAGGTCCACGAAAAAATAATTTTATCACGTTTTACTTTTATGCTATAGAAATTGGTAAGATTTCCATATTCGCTACACTTTAGTTTCTTTAGATCTTTTAGAATATAGATGCAGATGCGAGTACAAGTACCGTTAAAGTGAGGCTACCAATGGGTGCTAAAGGGATAAAAAGGACTCAAGGGACTGATAGAACTAAAGGGAATAAAAGTAAAACGGGATAAATTTAAATTTTCGTCGACCTACTCGGGCGCATGGTTGTAGAGCATTTGAAAGTAGTATAACAGGCGCTAAATGATATAGTCATATAGCGACGTGTCAACCGAGGATGTGACTTCTCGTTGTGAGAGCTAACCGTTGTAGCCCTTCGCGTCTTCACGCCGCGGTGCAAATATGAGGGTGTCGTTTTCTGAGCCAAAGCGCTTCTCGACACCGACTGTTGATGCCCATCACTTTGAATTATGTGACAAATGATTGCAACATCGTGTTCCACTATTATACTTGTAAGTACCATGTTAAAGAAAATACAGCACTAAAAGATTTCATTTCCGATTTCTCGTTGCAGTTATATGATAGACTAATCTGAATTCGAATCTGAATCGAAATTTTACTGAAATTTATCTTTTGCTTTTTTAGGCGTAATAACATGGAAGCCTTTTTTTTAATTTTCGAAGTGATATCAAGCAGTTGAAGCTGCATTTATATTCGAACTCGAATTAGGCATCTCATGGTAAAAAGATCAACATTATTTCTAAAATATAATATAAAAGATAAATTATCTTTATCACTCAATTTTAAAGTTGTTCTGAGCATTGCTAATTCTGAAATATATTTCAAAATAACATATCATCGAATATATTTTCAAAAAGAACAAACCTTTCTGAGTTAAATCCATTGATTTTCGTTCTTTTCGAGTTCGTTTTTATCCATTTTTCTTATTGATTATATTTATAAAAAATCAAATTTAAAATCCAAAAACGTCCATGCATTGTTTATAGATACTATCTTGTATCTTAATCGACCTTCGACTTCTACCATACATCACTAAACCAGCAATATAACTTGTCTGCTTATTTATAGTGAATACTCACATTAGAGAAAAATAAATATATTTGATGACGCATGTATATATAAAATTTAGGTAAAATCACACCGAAAGAGAGAGGAAGATTAACTGATATGCTTTATTAATCGGATAAGTGATAAAAGACCAGTAAACAAAAAAAAGAAAGGAATAGATAAAATCATAGACATACGTAATTGTGCATTTGCGTCAATATTGTTACAAACACATATTTTCACAAACTATCGTTAGAAATAGCGTTTATTTATTATTGATAAAAAAAAGTCACATAAGTTTTCTGTTTTAATTCATTAAAATATAATGTTCATGTTTTTTCTATAAGAATTTAAAATATTATTTAGCTGAAAAGTTCAAAACAACTCTACCACTAATTTTATAATTGATATCTTTTAACTTCTGTTTTTGAACTTTACATGCGATCTGATGAAGTTTCGCTAATTGTAAATCTTGTCGTGTACCAACAAGACTTTTAACTAATGCAATTCCATTCAAAATATAACCAACAATTGGTATGGACATTTTATCACTAGGTAAAGCTATAGGAACGACACGACCACCACGTTTAACTAATTTAAATGCTTGATCATAGTCTTCAATTAAAGGAACAGTGACAATTGCTACTTGAACACCATCCATTCTTGTTGTTTGGACCCATTCACTATGTTTATCACCAGGATCATCATAAACTAAAAAATGAGACAAATCGTTCAGTATTTGACAAATCTATAATGATTTACCTCACGATATAAAACTTCGAACAAGTTTTGATTAATCTGAATCATTGTCTTCGTAAGATGTTTATATTAATGAATAAATTTTAATTCTACAAAAATCGATATTTATCTTTCTTTGCTTCCATATCTTTATCTAGTTTCACAGCAGTCAATAAACAAAAAGGAAACACTTTCCATCAATCGAACTTTATTTATAAAAATTACACATGAGTCAATGCTTTAATGAATATATCTGATCTCTATCTAAACATAAGTCATCTAGTAAGAAAGAAACAGTTCTCAACAATAATACTACGATCGAATGATTCTTTAAAACTATGATATTTTATGCTGTAAAATTTTGAATTTTTTTATATGAGTTTTTGAATCTTACTTCATTATTTGATGCAACAACGACCAATACTCTCAATCCCATTGTTACAGTATAGCTAATCGCAATAGATCCTAATAAATAAAATATGATTTCATCTATTAAATGAGGAAAAGTTGTATGAGTTACCTAGATCATCAATACCAATAATCGATATTCATCCACCAGCTCGTGCTTGAGAAACTTTCAGAGCTTTGTAAACAGTAATACTGGCACAATAGAGTGGTGTTGATGTGGATGGATTCATACCTTCAGGAATTTTAATAGCAAAATTAGCATCCATTTAAGTATATTCTGCAAAACATCCATCAATTGAATAACCTGAATTTCTCTGATTTCCACAGATTGTTTCACATACAGTCAAACGCTATTCGCAATGAAGGTAAGGTTTTTTAATCCAAGGAATACCAGCAATGTCACTTTTTTTGACATAATCATCAATATTTGAACCTAATTCGACTATTTCACCAATACCTTGATGCTCCACAATTCTTGGTAAAGTAGGTCGAATATTCAAATTTTTCAAAAAGAGAAATAGAATACAGCTCCAATAAAATCAACATATTATTTCTTACCTTCTTTTACCAAATGCAAATCCGAGTGGCATACATCACAAACAATATTTATGACTAAAATATCGTTAGGTTCTACTTGAGGAATTGACATTTGTTTAATCTCTAAAGGTTCTAAATAATTTGTCACAACAGCAGATTTCATCATCTTTAAACTTTCAAAAAACAAATATTACACAAAAATAATGTGTGTTCGATCTACTCTTGTGGTTTATCTTTCATATTTTTATATAAGTTGATTAGTTTTTTGTTCTGTTCGAAGATGAAAATACAAATAAAACAATAGAGCATTCATTCACTTTTATTATATTGATTGAGATAAATATAATCACAGGTCTAGTCGTTGTTTAATGATCAGATAATTATGAATTGATGAAAGACAGATATTTTTTATTTGTAATAAAAATGAAAAAAGATAAAAGTGGATATCTAACAAAGAAAATGTAATATACGTTTCTTTTGCTTTCGACTATGTTATTCATACCATGTTTACAGTACCTTATTTTGCTCTCTAATCGATCTCCAAGATTTTCATTAACTGTCGAAAATGTTTCTGTTTGAGTGAACTAGTGTAATTGTATCATTCAATAACTATAAATAAGATCTGTGAATAAATGAAAGGAACTTTTTTTTGTTTGTCTCTGAAAGTATGACAACAATGATTATCAACTTAAGTATTAACTAACAGAACTGAATATGTCTATTAGTATTCAATATTATAAATATCATCATTAATATCAACGTTTCAATTAATTATAACTTCATAATAAAATAAATGTAAAAAGATAAAAAATTAACTCTTCAAATCATAATATAATTCAATTTTTCTTAATCTAATATATAATGACAAGCTATTGAACGATGTATAAATATGGTTGTCGAATAATAGCAACAATCATTGACTTATTATATTTAAAACTGATTTATTTAAGTTAAAAGAAACTTTTTGATCCGTTCCGAATATAAGCATTTTTTTGTTCGAAATTCAATAAATTTAGTGAACGTGAATCTTAACAAATACCAACATGATAAATCAAAAGACGATCAATAATATTTAATAATGGTAATCTACTGACAAGAGATGAGTATAGGACAACTTTTTCTATCCTGTCCTGTTGCCCTACCGCGTCCTGGCGGCTTGCAGAACAAGACAAAAATTTTATCTTCGTTCTCTCCTGTAGGACAGAACACCAAAACAACAGAGCCGTTCTGTCCTGTACTCAGCTCTGTATTGAATTCAATCATGACTGTTTCCATTGTTCTGTCGACAAATTCTAATGATAATGATAGGGAACTCTTTTATCTCTTAATCTGTTTTTCATATTCATTCAAGAAGTGTATTAAATATCAATAATTTGCCAAAATATTGTCGTCAATATGAAAATGAAACAATATATTATCAAAATTTAGATTAGTTGACAAATATATATAAGCAGAAACTAACTTAAAATTAGCTATTTTCTACATTCTACTTTCTTAGAAAATCTTCATTGTTTTGAATGAGAATATATTTCTCTTCTCTTAATCAATAGCAAAAATCTCCAAGAAACTATTATTAATAATTAAATAGTTGAGATGTTTGATTCGCGTTTATGAATTCTTTAGAACATGGAGTAATTAGTTAACACAACTCTATGTCTGACAAAGTGTTAATTGATTAATACATTTGATTTTCTAAATTGTTTTTAACTGCATATAAATGAAATTTAAATTTTTTTTCAATAAGAATTATCTTTCACTGAGACTCGTCCTATATAAAAACGTTCCACCCTTTCTGTGTATTATGATTTCCTTTCTCAGTTAAACGATTGTAGAAAAACAATACAATATTAGAGAAGAAATCCATTATGCTTTGTATTAATGTCATATTTCTTTAAATAAATTATGTATTCATGGATAATAATATGTTAAAATCAGTTGGAGCAAACTCATACAATTCAAAGTTGTATGGAAATTATTTTTTGAATAAAAATAAATATTTCAATAGTTGTTCGATATTGACAGTTAAAATATAACTCAAATAGATTTTGCACTTTATTATAAATGAAATTATATAAACGATGAACGTGGTAATCACAATTGTCAACTAACGAAATAACTATTGGAATAAATCAGATCTAAAAATAAATATTCTTTCTCTTCTATTCATATCCTAAGAAATGAACTTAAACTTGATAAAATAACATAGGAGATTATAGACCAACAATTTCTTTCCCTAATACAAAGTTGTATTAGGATAGAATATTGATGGACCCAGATAAAAAGAATCTGGAAAGAATCGTAACATACTTAAGAATTCTTGAAGTTCAGACAACATTCTTTCAATAGGAAAGAAAAAATCTCTTGTATGAATTTCACGAAAACTATAACATGAAATCTCTGTATGCGCACATATATATATATATAAACGTCTATACGTTATTTATTTACTTCTTCACGATCACAGTAAACAATTATTTATTGAATTAAATGAACAAGAGATATTGTTTCTGAATAATGGATGAGTTGTGTCTCAATATCAAGTAAGACAAGTCAATATTCTTGTATCCGTTCTGTTCAGATTCTTTTTAAGCAGAAAAATTCGTCAACATTCTTTTTCTATATCTTGGCTAATCAATCAAGAAAAATAAGAATTTGAAGAAAATAATAGCAACAACATCGACTAGTGTATCTACTCTAGAAATCTGTTCAGATTTGACTACGTATTAGTGTTAATAATGAATCACGCTTCATCACAATGAGAGAACAACTTCTGATCTAGATTTGAGAAGTCGTTAATGCCATTACGAATGGTAAATAGAAGACTCACGAGGAAATGTTTTCAACTCACCAACTGCTTTTAAGTTCGAACTCTGAATCACATAGACCAAGTGAAATATGAAAAATTTCGAAAGGATGAGTCCTATAAAGCCTCCTGTGTCGAGAGTTATAGACGTTTTACTGAAGTATTAGGCTCTCATATGGTATATACCAACAAATCGAATGGTGATATTTTGATCTGAGTTTTTGCTCATAGACAGTCATATTCGTGGATAAAATGCTTTGAAAATTTAAGCTCAAAAAAATGTTTTCTTCTCAAGATATTACAGACAAAAATTACTCATATTCCACGAAAGATGCTATAGAATTTTCTGTTTTTTGAGACTTTAATATATCAAGAATGAAACGTTTTTTGAGTTGAAATTTTCAGGGCATTCTGCTCACAAATAGATCTATCTGTGAGCAAAATCTCAGATTGAAATATCAACATTAGATTTGTTGATATATACCATGGCATAGCCTAAAATTGCAGTAAAATGTCTATAACTCTAGGCAAAAGGTTTAGGAGAACTCATCTTTTTGAGATTTTTCATATCTTACCGGAGTCTATTTGATGCTTAAAGTTCCAACTCAAAAGCAGTTGGCCGGTTCAAAACGTGCTCTCGCCAGTCTGAAAATAGATCAAATAAGCATACAAGGATTTGTTCAAATATTGATTCACTAAGGTTTCAGCAAAGCGATTAAACTCTATTTTTTTTCACATTTCATATATTTAGTAACAGTACTTTTTAAATGAACAAACAGCTTCATACAATAAACTTCTTCTTATTAATATATCCTGTTGTTATATCAGGTACAGGGTAATCCAAAAGTCTTGGTCGTTCTGAGAAAAATTGAGTGTCTAATCCCTTGTAACTAGACGATTATTCCTCTAGATTTTCAGATCTCTAGCCTTTATTACAAGGGAGATATATCGGTTCGTATGATAGAGAGGATTTTGTTTCATGTCCTAAAAACAAAATAGCGAGGGATTACATAAAAAAGACATCAAAATGAGGAAATGTTAAGAGAATTGTAAGGGATAGAGTTATATCTTAAGATTAATTGGATGTATCTATATTATATTTATTTAAATATCTTTAACTCTCATTTGATGTATGTTAGGGGTATTTGTAAAAGACGCGAATGCCTACAAAGACTCCCAAATCAGAAACTGATACCATTAGTAGATAGAACTCGGCGAGCTGGTTCTACGAAGACCCAAAATGGTTGAATATTAGAGTTGTTTTCTAATACAGACTGTTTTTTCCCATATTGGATATACATTCTCCAACTTCCAACTACCAAAAGTGATAAAGCAGCTACCAACACGAGTACAAGTGCAAGATTATAATCATGAAACTATCCCTATCAATGTTTACCTATAAGTACAAAGCTGCTACGATATAGATATAGGGATATATTCATATGGGTATAGGTATAAGGGTATAGGAGTAACAGTATAGATATAACGGTTCACCATGGGGTTTTACGCTGGCTTGCGTTGACTTGCAGTCGTAAACATAGCGTTTATTGTCATATTCGCTGGATATACGGTCGTTTTACGGCATGTATATCACTAAACGATATGCGTATGTCGCCGTATACGACACGGTGACAAACGATCGTAATATTGCGGAAGCCAAATGAGTCATTTACGGCCCGTTTACGATCGTAATTATATCTAGATAAAACAAAACAAAAAATGTTTATTGAATATTTAAGTTGTAATTTCTCTAATATGTATTATGTAAATATAATTTATGCTGTTTAACCAATAAGAATGATTTATTTTATATTTTGATTTTGACATATTTCTGTCTTTTTTTTTTGTTACAAGGTAGACTAATCAAATGTTTGTTGTCGTAAAAGTATTCTTTCACCTTGTGTCTCATTTGTTGGAGAAGATTTTTGTATTTTGTCATAATAAAAGACGATTTGATTAAATATTTTACTTGCAAATAAAAACTAAGTAGTTATTGATGTTTTTGTTTTAAAGATAATTGAGCTAAGTCAGGTTAATTGTTGAGATTAAGGACACCACATATTTCAGTATTAAAGAAAACAATATTTTACATATACACTAAAATCGCTAATCTCAAGAATGAAAACCTGTCAATTTCTCTCGACATGGATGTAAGAATTTTTTATCGATCTGATGATTTAAAGATTCCGGTTTCTTTAAAGATTCTGAAATGATTTTACTATGATTGTGGTTCCGGCTCGGTTTTCGGTTCGCGTTTTTTGGAGCGACCGAACTCTACCTTCCTGACAGCAGCACCCACACCCTGCACTCGACCCCACAGCTCTGCTAAATTCCACGCTCTTCACTCAATCCTACATCTACAAATTATTAATTTATTGAGCAAACATGATAATTACCGAACGCTAAATTTTGTCCTCATAGTTTCATTTAAAATTACTGATAATTTTGTTCATAAAACTGAGCAATAAATTATAATGAGCGTTTAGAAGAAAATACTGATCATGTAATTTGTACCCGAAAATTATTCGTATAGTCTATGTGAGACATCCTACTATTCTGTTCACGAAATAATACGAGTGTTACTATTCATTGACTGAAATGTATAATTCCACACACTCTAAAAAAGAGTGCAGAATAATCGACCCTTGCATTTTAAAAAATTTTCCATAAACTCTTGAAGAATTTATGCTGATGCTTTATATCCTTCGAAGGTTTATGAACAGAGAAATTTGTGATCGTAAGTTTATATGAAAATCGAAAGAGTATATGATGCCTTTTAAAAAGTTTTTTTATTCAATATTTTTCTCTATGCAACTGATGCTGCTGTTAAACCTCTTCATATTCCTTATCGTAAACCTTTTTAGGTGATTGATCAAGTCAATAAGCCTCTTCATATGCCTTTGAACAAAATTCTATGAATCATTTAGAATGTCCATGAACGCTTCCAAATATTCTATTTAAGTGGAATGCTTGGGTAGACTGTTTTTGCATCAAATCTTTCAGAAAGGGTTTAGAAGATTATTTGACAAGGTTTGCAATGTTCATGAACCATTTTGAGGGGTTTATGAAAGTGCAATGTATAGCAAACCTGTTAAGGATTTATGAATCTTGTGATGTGACGTTCTATGCTGAGAACGTTCTTACATCATGTTTTGTCTTCTCTGGCTTTTTCTCGTCAACATATCTCTTGTCTTTCATCCTTTCATAATTAACATTAGATCGTTGCTTATTCTGTTGACAGAAATACTTAAATCATTTTCCATAATTATCTTTTCTGTTATCCTCATCTTTCTATTAATAGGTCTCTCTTTTCTCTTGTTGTATCTTTTCCTTCTCTCTCTCTTTCTTGGTTGCATATATAAACGCGTGTTTTGAATGTAAACGATGCGATTACTGATACGATGAAGCTAAATAAAGCGTAGTTCTATCCACGCAAGCATCTCTTCTATCTAAAATCGTCACATGTGAACTCTTTCATAAACCTTTTAAGAGAAATATTTGAAGTTTATAAACTCCTTCATAATGTCTGTTTAAGGGTTTCTGAAAATGGTTATGAGCCTTTCATAAATGATAGAAAAGGGTTCTCTATACAATGTACTTTCGTGAACTCTTTAAACGTTTATTACTCTACGGCGCTTTTTGTAGTGCAGTGCATGATTTTTCTGAAACATATATCAAGTAGAAATATATTTTTACGGACAATAGCTAAAATTTTTGTGAATAAGCAAAATATTCATTTTATTTTTGTAAATACACGAAAGACACAATAGCTTAATGACTTTCTTCAGCCATGTAAATGATTGTATGCATCGCGTCTAGTATAGCGTTAAACATTTTTTCGTGGCTTTATTGTGTATTTGAATGTTCCACAGAAAACATTTGTGTCTTGTTCCATTGCCATTATTTTAACCTCAAAATCGCCAGACGTAAAAAGCGATAGAATATTTCCAGAAAGATTCGGCAATTCGAGCACTTCCTTATAGGCTACAATTTGATTTATTGGCACATCACGTAAAGAACCATTACAACTATTTCCAAGAATAGTCGCAACGAGTGAAGTTAAATACAATCCGAACGTTTTTGGCCACCAACTACCGATCAATGTGCACAATTGATCACCAGTATAACGGCATGAACCAACATAAAGACCATCAATTAAATAGCACTTGACGGGAAGACGAATGCCACTAACTATGCGCAAGATGTCAACAGATAGTTGAAACGTTTCTATATATTGAACATTGAACTTTTTTAAAATTGCATATCGTTTAACTGATACTCACTTATAGATCGTTTTACCGTATGTGCTAAAGTTAAATTGATAATACCAGGATAATGAATTGGCATTGGATGAATGTCAATTGAATGAATGATAGCATCCTGTGAGCCACAATCAGTATATTCAACTTTTGAGTATTCAGATTTGATGTTGTCTACTATCAGAGAGACAACGATGAGAATCAAGAATGAATGAAAATACATGTAGATGCCTATATGTGAAGTAGTAAATCATGCGCTAGTATATATATTTATATATATATTTAAGTGACTCAGTGTTTGTTGGGGTAAGTATACACAGGTGTTTCATTAAAACCTCATTAAGCATTTTAATATGATGGATACCATTTAGAAAAAGAGCAAGGCTCCACATTTTTCTTTGTATGGTACGGCATAAACACATCGATCTGTGGAACTTAGTCAATTTTAGAAGCTCGGAACATAATCATTTTAGATTTTGTTGCCTGCCAATTGTATCTTGTTTAAAAAGAGGACTACTAATTTAAGGACAGGCATCGATGATAGGTATAAACTGTCAAAGTTCCCGTTCTTTGCGTTCACAGTCGCACAATTATTCTAACGCTCTAGGAATCTCTAAAATCACTCAAGATATAACGTAATACGTTAATAATTGTTTACTCTCAAGAAAAAATGAATATTTAAAAATGTAGCTTTCTCTTGTCAGTAACCTCTCTCGATTGATCGGTAAGAAAAATTAATAGTTTCCAAGTTATACGTAAATGACGCTTTACAAATCTTCAGCTATTGTTTACAAGGGACTAAGAATTCTAATGCAGCAGCACTCCACCACTATATTATTTGCTCGATTTGTGCATCGTTTAACTTGATAAGTATACTCGACACTAGCCTGAAATCTACGAAACTTTCTCAGATGATTGTTCTTGATATAAAGACTCAAGTTTAGTTACTATTAGCAAAATAAATCGTGAGTTTATTTTGATCAAGCGTTTTTGAATCTTCTTAGAATCAAAATATCTCATAAGCATTGAACATATTGCAAATATTTTTAAAAGCAAATACACAATAATAGATCTCATGTCTTCTTCTATTGAGAATTGATCATTAAGTACTTATAATAGATCAGTTTTACCGTGCAAAGAATGAAACGGCAGAAAACAAACAAATTGAGAATGTCATTTTTGTTAGACGATTCATTGGATATAAACAAAACTAGTTATTTTTATTTTTGATCTCGATGAAATATGTTTCGTCCAAATATATGATGTGTTATTCATAGAAACGTAAAAATATCATAGCTTTCTTTGACTGTTATTTTTACTCGATATGAGCTAAGTAAACTAGTGATGCATAAAAAGAAATTTTATTTGAATAAATTATTTGTATTCGATTCTAAAGATTCCTGAAATTATTGTTTACAAACGTGTACTTTTATTACAAATAATCTAATCAGATCCTTTACTAAGATCATGTATGAAGAAAGGATTTCAGTGATTATGAATTGAATTGATTTATTTATAAATTCATTCTTTTACTGATTGTCTTCTATCATAAATAATCCTTTCAATCAAGATTTTAATTATTTTTGAAAAAAAAAAAAGATCAATTCGACTTGATCGATTTATTTGTTTATTTAGTAAAATCAACACGATTCGTTTTATTCATAAAAATATTATACGCCTTGCTTTACATTATCAACAACATCAATAATTCATCGAACAATTCATTTAAAATAATAAATATTTTACTTTCAACAGATAACTAATAAATGTACAATTTTGACTGAAGGATATGAAATCTATATTGTATATTAATCTTTCAGATAATCCACTGTCAAACATGATAATGGTACTACATTAAATATTTTAGGTAAAATCTTTAAAGAAATATTGTTCAAATGTTATTTTCAGCTGATTCATAATGAACAGTTTCAAAAGCTTGATAAAATACATAAATTATCATGAGGTATAATTTATAGTATGTCAATGAATGACGGAACTATTCTTTTGCTATTTTCACCTATTTTAGGTCACAGTTCGTCTATCTTTTCTATTATTCACGCTATCGTATTTTTTTCTTTTATTTTCATTCTTCACGTTGGACTATTTTCTACAACTTTCGCTTGAAGAACTGGAAAGTAAAATTGAATGCCTCAGCACCACATTTTCGGTCGTCTCATCCAATATATCGTATAATCCAATTGAATAAGAGAGAAGGAATATGCGAATTCTGTTTTCCTTACTTCATCAGGTATACATACCTCTTCATTTCGAACTAAAAGCTATTATTGTTGCTAAACTTTCATAGATTCTTGTATGAATATAAACATGCACGAGCTCTATGCGATTCATCACGTTTCCTTAGTTTTTATTATAACTTGTATTAGACAAATAGTAATTTTAATAGTATTCGTATTCATCTTCACAATATTCTATGCATTAGAGCTTCAGTGCTAAATTTTCGACACCATTCCATTTCAATATTAAGCCACACGGATTTCACAAATTTGTGCTATTTTTTGGAAGGATACGTATTCTCATTTCACTATTTCCATTAATAATTATAAATGCAAAAAGATATATCCTTTGAAAGAGTCAATACGTCAGTGTCTCACGAGGGAACCACCCGAGGTGTCAAAAAGCTTTTCAGTCGGGGATATGATGGTTAGATAGGGCATAGCTAGGAGTGATATACCCTAAGTTAGTTCGTGCCCAAGTTGCTTCTAGCAGGAGTTATGAAATGTGAAATTTAGGTATAAAAATGAATCAGGGAAGGTTTTCTCCACTATTGTAAGGACAAAACATAGTGNGACATATTCACTATAGTGAATAATTAATGGCGAGCTTTTTCCTCATTAATTCTCTTGTTTTTCTTCACAGAAGGAAACTCATGTAAAAAATAACGAGCGAAATCAGATTAAAAAACTTAAAATTCGTAAACCATTAATTCTCTTTTAATCGAAAATCGCTATAAAAGGTCAATATTTCAGATAGCATTTCGATCGATTTCGTTCAGTTTTGGATAAGTCCTATCAACTTCGATTGAAATCTGTTAGAATTTGAAATACGTCAACTACAATCGATGTATATCGATCCTAATTAGATGAAGATTTTTTATAATTACACACAAAACCCAATACGAAACGATCCCTTTCATTGAATTGCAAACGATAAAAATCGGGACCGAGCGAAATTATATATAAAAATCTAAGTTCCCGGTTACTTTCGAGAAAAAGCTGATAAGAATCATTATTTGCAAATATTTTAATCTGATCTCCCTTCTAACTTTTTTCATATGGGAAAAGCGAAAAAAAGGAGCGTATGGTCGATGCTAGAGAAAAAAGGTCGCTCCGACTCCGCTCCAGCTCCACCTTTCTCATTAATCGCTCCGCTCCGGAGTTGAAGCTGTCCATCTCTGGTTCATATATATTTCAAATGATTAATTTATATTTATCGAAGAACGTTATACTAATTTACAAACTATCGAATAATGTTTGTTCTTTTCCTAATAAAATAATTATCAATTTCATTATATATATTTAATTCTTTTGCATAAGATATTTTTAAACAGTCAATAAAAAATTGGTCTATTTTCTTCAAATTGTAGTCTTTATTGAAAAGTTTGTTTTTTCTATACATTTTTTTATTTTTACATAAATAATCTGAATCATCATCAACAAATTTTTTACTTCAGTACAAAATTAATGCTATAAAAAAACTTGGTAACAAACACAAGTTTTTAATGTCAACACAAACAAGAAACTATTTTTTTCTTTTCGCCGACGATTGTTTAGATGAACTATTACCATCTCTAAAATAGAAAAGCATTTTTAATATTCATATTAGCGATGTTAAATCTTTAACACTTTTTGAAATAATGTCTCCGAGTTGAATACTTCCAATCTATTTGCCCAAGTTAGCATTAAATCGATACCCACTGAAAAAAAGTATAAATAATTAAGTAACACTAATCATTAACTTATACTAACATCTTGTAGCTGTTTGCTTTAATTCTTCAATGATTTTTTTAGATTCAACCCGATACTTTGCTTCACTACAAAATGAAAAAAAATTACAAATTAATGATAGTATTTACTGACTTACAATAGAATAAGGGTTAATTGTTTATTTTATTCAAAATTAAATCCCAGATTTTGTAATTCTTTTCAATCCTTCACGATTTCTAAAGAAAAGTTTAACTATATTGGTATATGTTTAGACTTGTTTAACATTTTTCTTACGGTTATAATTTTCAGCATGATATGCCGCTTCAATACGACTTTGGAGACATTCCAATAAATAATCTTTATCTCTTGTTTTATTAATAATGTTGGTAAGAATCTACAAATTTTTTCTAATGTTAACACGTTTCAAATAAATCATGCGAACAAACCTTAACTGCATCATTGTGCCGTTTTTGTCGTACAGTCGAAAGGTACAATATCAATGATTCTTTCGAGTTACTCATTATAGAAATCAGTATTGACTAGATGCTAATAAGAAAAGTACAATTTGTGACGTTTTTCCTAAGCACATCAGACACTCACTTTTGTACCCAGAGAAACTAGAGTCAAACAAAGAATATGTTTTAACGCGTTTGTCGTTCGCTGTGATTACCCTGTATACGATAACATATGAAAGACAAGATATGTTCAATAATTCTGTTTTATTATTCACTAAATGGAGACGGTCAATAGCCAGAGTAATATTCATAGACGACGGTTCGATCTAATTGATGAAATATCCCGAAATAAACGGCCATTCGTTTTGTATATAATTATTTTGTTTTTATTTAAAACTAGAAAAAGGATCTTCAACAACAAGTCTTTGATGAACTAATAAAATTAATCTATTGATTTATTAAGGTTAGTTCTTATCTTCTTTCTTTTTTTTTTTTGTAAGCAAAAATACTTGTTTTTAGATTTTTAATGAGCGATGTCTTTCAAATCAATTAATTATATCATTCATTAAATCATCTAGTTTAAATATAGTAACTATTACTGATCTATCTTTATTATTTAATAATGTATTTTTATCTATAATGTTTTTAACAAAATCTTTGAATATGATCTATCATCAAAACGAATATGTTCAACTCCTATGTCTATTGCTTGATAGGCAAATCTTGATATTTTTCTCCATATATTTACTGTTGATGGACATCCATTAAGAGAAATAAAACGATTACAATCAATAGATAAACAAGAATCTGTAAAACTAGTAGCTGCATATTCTTTATTGAAACTTTATCTTAAGTTTATGAATAATTTACCATTTGAAATAAAAAGTTATGTTCAAGCTAAAACTTACCTTAAATTCCTTAGGAAACAAATTTATGTTAAAAAATTCTTAATGAATAGTTACAAATCTAAACATTTTTTCATTATTTACTCTGACTTCTTTATTTTCATATATATAAAAGATCTCCATTTTTTTATAAGAAAGTTATTCAATAAATTTCTGCGATATTTTTCATTAAATTTGTTTATGGACTTGAAAAAAATTTCAAAAGATTCCTTAAATAATATTCATTTTCTAACTGCAATCTTGTGAATATTCCCTATTTTCAAATTCAAATTCAAATAAATCTTATTACTCAATGAAAGTTTGTAGAAATAATATTTCTATGATAATTAAATTTCTTTAAAAATGAATACAAGAAACGCATATTTAGCACAAGAATTAGTAAGATGTATTTGTACTAATCGTGAAAAATAATCCAAAAACAACGAAATTTAAACGAATATCATGAGTCATTGTGTAAGAAAAATGAGACTTTTCTTCATGACTAACCCAAATAGTATTTAATCTGTCGTTGAGCTGAGTCAGTTCATTAGAAATAAAAATTTTGTACGTAGAGAAGTTTATTGTGAATATTTTAACAGTATTTATTTAGAAAAAAAAAAAGGAAAACAATTGAGTAGTAAAGCAACCAAAGCAAATACATCAATCATTCATTAAATAGAAAATAATCACATACTTTTCTTCTTTCAACATTATAGTGACGCCTGATATAAATGTTTCGAGTTTTTGAATTTACTATATTTTATCTGTTCCTTCAGAGTTTTGTTTTAATTTTGAAAATTTATCGCATATTGTTGATAGAAAACATTGGTATAGATCAAGTACATCATTCAATTTCAACTTCTGAAATCTGTAGGTGTTCGTTAAGTCATGCAAGATGAACTACTATTTTAAATTCAAATAATCATAAGAGAAAACGAATTATTCCGAAACATGAAACTAAATCAAACCAAAGTAACACTAAACTTCTCATTGACAACAACAAATTATTCAGTCATATTGATCTTTCAACTTTCTCTGCATTGTCACATTTATCTCTTAGCAATGTTGAAGCATAAACAAGATCAATAAGTTCTATAGTTCTTAGATATGGAAATTCTATATCATATTCACCTATTATCCTTACTGATACTCCAGCTTTTATGTCACATACAACATCAGATATTTTTTCATTTTTTATGTGCCTTAGTCAATGCTCATTAAGCTGTATCTCGACTGACAATACATCACAACGTTTAAATAATAAAAATCCACTATTGCTCTTTGCTTCAACCAGATAAGTATTTTCATTATCGTTTACGCATACGTATCCATCCATCATCGATACATCTTACACATAAGTTACGCCTCGTCGTTTACTAGTTCAACTTTTTCTTCTTTTAAATTTTCCATGTTATCCTGATGATTCTTATCTTTTAGAAGGAATACAAAAATCAATTTCGATCAATTAAATATTTATACCATTCATATTCGCACATCATCACATATCAACAGTTCAACTCTATTCCATGTTGATGTAGAAATCGCTCAAGAATGTGATCAGTGTTTAACAACCAAATATCCATCAGTAGCAAATGTATGTCTTGTTGCTAAACAATACTTTGGTCCTCCTTACATTTCTCACTGCAGAAAATGCGGGTATGGATGGGTGTGAGTGTAACCATTAATAGATCAACACCCACACCAACAGTATCTTACTGGTCTCTCTGCAATGCAGAAAATCCTTGAGACTGTCAACAGTAGAAAGATAAAAACTGAAACGAAAGTATTTTACGTGCGAAAACGGAAGTGTATAGAACTAGTGTTTAGGAACAAAGCCATTGGAATCAGGACGAACACTCGGAGTAGGGTCAGCACGAGTTTTCTCGATTAGGATACGAATATGAGTGTGAAAAGTGGGTATACTGGTGTGGCTGTAGAGAAGACTCGCACCCACACCTACCATAAGAGTATTCTCTTCAAACGAAAGCATTCAATAAATACAAAATGATCTCTCTCTTTCGATCTATAGTTACATACATTCTTAGAATGGACGTTATTTATAGAAAATTATAGTCGTAATATTAGATAATTTATGTAGATACGATGCATTGTCTTATTGACGGCTGCGTCAATAGAATGATTTGACAGTCTTTTTTCTCTTTTTTCAATAATTCGTAATGTCACTTAAATTCAAGATAACAGAAGCTCATCAAATCAGGAAAAAAATCATTAAAACTCTAAAAGTCTCGGAACTAAGTCAAGAGATCTATCAATTCTGCATCTAGAGTAATTGAACATTGGATATTTTTTCTAATTCATTATAATTGTTTGAGTCTGATGCTGATATTTAGAAAAATGATCATACAAAATCAAAAGATGTGTTCGATTCAAAAGATATTACTCAAGCGCAAGTATTAGTTACTGGTGCAGATATATCAGGTTTAGAAGCGGTTCGTTTCTTGATACAGGATGGAGTACAAACACTTGGAGTTAAAGCACGAAATCGTACTGGTGGTCAAATCTGGCCGGTTCAGTCAAAAAATGACCACATACTCGGTTTAGGTGCAAACTGGATTCATGGTATCAGTGGATTTATATCACATGGTTTTCTATAGAATCCTTTATGGGACCTTGTCCCGCAAGCTAAAATTTCCTATTTATACTACAGCATTCAGTAATAAAAAATTTTCAATATGATTGATCAGAATATAGAAGAAAACCTAGAAGCATGGTTCGATGATTATATGGATTATGCCCGAGAAGCCACCAAAACATTGGGTGGAAATCAATCTCTCCTACAATATAGTGAAATATTTTTTACAATGAAAAACTTGACTGACAAACAGCTAGATGTATTTTACCCTTATCTGCATACGAAGATCGAAGTTAATGAGGATAGGGGTGGGGGTGTGGATGTGGTGTGGGGTGTGGATGTGAGTGTGTGGGTGTAGGTGAGTGTGGATGTGGGGTGTGGGTGTGTATGTGAAAGATAGGAAGACAGATACGCACATACTTACACCCACACCCCATCCCACACCCTTACGGACAATAGCTAAAATTTTTGTGAATAAGCGAAATATTCATTTTATTTTTGGAAATACACAAAAGACACAATAGCTTTATGACTTTCTTCAAACATTCAAATAATTGTATAGAGTGCATCTAGTATACAAGTTATTTTATTCTTCTAGGTAATGTTGTGTATTTGAATGTTCCACAGAAAACCGTTCTGTCTTGTTCCATAGCCATTATTTTAAGCTTAAAATCGCCAACGGTAAGCCATGACATATATTCAGGAAAGGCCGAAAGTTCGAGCATTTCGTTATAGACAATAATTTGATTCATTGGTACTTCATCTACAGAACCATTGCAATTGTTTCCAAGAATAGTTGAAACGAGTGAAGTTAAATATAATCCGAATGTTTTTGGCCACCAATTGTTGATTAAGTGACATATTTGATCACTAGTATAATCACATGAGCCAACATGAAAGCCCTTAACTATATAGCAGCTAAAGGGAAGAGAAATACCACCGATTGTGCGAATGATGCGCACAGATAACTGAAACGCTTCTATATATTAAACATCAAGTTTTTTTCAAAATTGCGTCTCATTTAACTGATACTCACTTATAGGTCGTTTTATTGTATGTGCTAAAGTTAAATTGATACTACCAGGATAACGAATTGGCATTGGATGAATGTCAATTGAATGAATGGTGACATCCTGTGATCCACAATCAGTATATTCAGCTCTTGAATATAAAGATTTGGTGTTGTCTACTGTTAATGAGACAACGACGAGAATGAAAAATGAAGCTAAATACATGTAGATGTGTGTACATAAAACAGTAAGTCATATGCTAGTATATATATTTAAATGATGCATAGTTTTTTGTGGTAAATACACGCAGGTGTTTGATTAAAATCTTAGAAAGCATTTCAATACCAACGATACCGTTTAGAAATGGAATAGAGCCCCATATTTTTTCTTAGTATGAGACGACAAAAACGTATCAATCTGTGTTATTTAGTCAATTTTAAAAGCTTGAAATTGAATCTTTTTAGATTTTGTTGTTTGCCAATTGCTGCTTGTCGAAAGAAAGAGCTGCTACTACTTTCATAATGGGCATGTATACTTGAGAATGGATGTGTAGATGTCGGTGTGAAGTGTGAAAGTCCTTGTTCTTTACACCCACAGCTGCGCACTGATCCGCACGTTCTTTGTTGGAGCTTTTTGAATTTTTCTTAAACTTCTGTTAGCTTTGCTAATTTCTAAAATTACTCAAGGTATAAAATAATATCTCAACAATTGTTTATCCTCGCGATTAAATGAATATTTAAATATGCGAATTTCTCTTGTGAGTAATCTCTCTTGATCAATACGTAAGGAAAATTAATAATTTCCATAATTGTTTGTAATTAACTATATATACCTATATATGTGGTAATGAGTCAAGAATACGTCTCAGACAATAACTCTTAGTCGATGATTGATTGTTCCATTTCTGCACCGTTCGATTTGAAAAATATGCTCAACACTAGCCTGAAATCTACGAGATTTTCTTAGATAACTACTCTTAACATAAAAATTGAATTTTACTTATTATTAGCAAAACAAACCGTGAGTTTATTTTGACCAAGCGATTCTGAATCCGATTTGCATCGAAATATCTAATAAACATTGAAAATATTTACAAAATAATAAATAGTTTTATTCTATTCGTAAGAAATTCTCGATCATTCAGACGTATTGTAAGTGTTTTTTAAAAGCAAATACACAATAGAAGGTCGTATATTTTCTACTATTGAGAACTCACCATTAAATAAATCGAAAAGACTAGTTTTACCTTGCTATAAAAAAAACGATAGAAACTAACTAATCGAGAATATTCTTGTTGTTAGATGATAAACTGTATATGAGCACGATCGAATTCATTTTAATTTCAATCATGATGAAAATGTTTATAGTGATGATTCAATGAAATTATAATTTTGATCTTGAGTTTACCGTTGGAACAGAGCCGTATTAGCTCATCCATGTCTTATCGTACCACATAATGTGTTGCTTACAGAAATGTAAAAATGTTATTATTTTCTCTAACTATTCTTTTTCTCGATATGAGATAATAAAACTACTGACACAGAATAATCGATTGCAGTTTGATTTGAGAATTTTCTATGTTGTTTTACTTTTTCATGGTTAAGTTGCATTTGAGTAAACGATTTGTATCAGACTTTATAATTCATTGTTATCGAGATTATAGCCCACAAACGCTCACTCTTCTTACCCTTAAGAATAACCTTATTAATAAATGCTTCACTAAGATTATGTATAAAGAAAGTATTGCGTTTATGGCAAATTGATTTATTCATCGTAAGTTCATTTTTTTTTACTGATTATCTTCTTTCATAAATAGAACTTCAATCAGGATTTCGAATCAATAAATATTTTTCAATGGTTTTATTATTTTTGAAAAAAAAAAGATCAATTCGATTTGAACAATTTATTTGTTTACTTTGTGAATTCCATACAATTATTTTATTGACGAAAATATTAAACGAATTGCTTTAGATTATCAACAAGACCGGCAACTTATCGGGCAAGTGATTTAAGATAACAAATGTTTTGCTTTTAACAAACTTCTAATGATCAAAGCATATTGACAATAATTTTACAGTTCTGACCGAAGGATATCAAATTGTTAAATTTATATATTTATATCTTAAATAATTTTTAATAGAAATTACTTGAAAAATAATAAAAACAAAGTACCATAAGCGCAGAAAATCAACCACTTATCGATATAATCATATGTTTACCAGTTAGTTTTGATTTATTCCTACAAAATTTACTCAGAAAACTTTATTTTTTGAAAACAAAATAAAATGTATCAAATGATACTATATTGAGCATTTTACGTAAAGTCGAAGAAGAAATATTGTTAAAATATCATGTTTAACTGATTTTTGTAAAGACCATTTGAAAAACTTGGTAAAATATATAAATTATCATTAAAGATAGTTTATTTTCATTTTTCTTATTGCCTAATTATAGTACGAAATAAACAGATTCTTTGTTTATTAACATAATTTTCATCTGAACCACGTTTACAAAGATATCTATTGTAGAATCTTAATGGGAATGTTCAGACATATCTTATTCGTACTTTATTTTATTTTATTACTAAACAAAATAGAACAAGTGATGAAGCAATATTTTTGGAAGAATCTGATATAACGAGTATTTTCCGGTAGTAAAATCTTTATTTTGTGCTAATCAATAAGAAATATCTTAATCATTAACTCGATTTAGAAATTTTTCTGATCAAATTTTTGAAAAATTTTTTAATCAAATTAAATTGAAAATATTATATAATATCATTCAGCATCATTAGAGACACCTTCAAAAGCCTTGGTCATTTATTGATCGTGTATATTATGATGCAAAGTGATTGATGGTCACTACTCAAAAATTCCGCACACAATTTAATCAGGACGAAACATATTTATAGGTAAGTACTTTAAAAGAAATTATTTTATCTGATAAACAATAAACAATGTTAAATAACAAAAGATCTTTATCTAATAAAAACAAAATTATTTTTTTTTTGTTTTTGATTAGTTCATCATTAAATATAATTATTGATACTATTAAAAAGTTCGTGTCTTGTTGAGAAACGATTTGTTCAAAAGAAAATGGCATTGATAATATCATCATCTTTATCCTAATTTAAATAATTTTAAACTCATATAAATAATATTGAAAATGACAAAAAAAATATCTTTTTCTTCTTTAAGTCAAATATTCTTTAGCTTGAAAAAAAAATATTCTCTTCTGTTATTAAAATATTATTAAATAAAATAGTATATTAATGATATATTGAAATAAACAAAAAATAAATCACTCTTTGTTTTTAATTTACAAGTAAAATATTTAATCAGACTGACTTACAACGTGACATAATACCAAAATTTTCTTCTTCAAATGAGACACATCAACGATAATGATTAAGTTTTCGACAACAAATATTTGAATATAATCTATCTTGAAAAAAAAAGATCAACACATGTCAACAGTGATGGCAATATTTCATACATTATTTTCAATTGAAAAAAGTTTCTGAAAGTATATTACTTTATTTTATTCATTTTCACAAAGAAAAAATTCTATTAAAAGACTTTTTTTCTAATGAAGAATGAGTGTGTCTGAATTATATGTTTGTTTGGGTTGTCATTATCATAAGACATTGTGTTCTTCAATATTTATAACTATCAATGAAAATGTCAAATAAATCATTCTTATTGTTTAAAAAACACAAATTATATTTATATGATATATATTAGAGAAATTACAATTTAAATATTCAATAAGCATTTTTCTTTATTTTATCTAGGAACAAAAATGAAGACAAATTATAACAGTTCGAAATTGTATGAACACAAAATCGAAACATGGATCAAATTGAATATATTAATTTAGAACATTATTTTCTGTCCGCGGTAGTATAGTGGTTAGTATCCCCGCCTGTCACGCGGGAAACCGGGGTTCGATTCCCCGCCGCGGAGTATTTTTTTTTTTCTATCTTGTTCTTCTATACTGTTGTTCATAAGTATCATTGAAAGAAGTGCTGTTGTATTATGTTCTTTTTTATTAGACTCAATGAACTATGCTTTTTTTTATCGTATTCTTATACGAAAATATCTATTCATTTATCCAAAAAGTGTTCATCTTTATTTTATTTAAATATGCCATTAAATAACATATCATAAATAATCGATATATTTATTAAAATAATCAATATCAACTTGTTAAAATATATAAATTTCAAAAAAATTTATGAAAATCTAATAGCAACAGGTAAAGTAATGTAAGAAATGATCTAAAACATGATTTATTTTTGCCTTACCTTATCCTCAAGATGTTTTCTATGGTAAAATATGGTATGTTATTTCTAGTTTATATGATCAACCAGTTTATATTTAGAAATATCTAACAAACATTTATTATCAATAGAATAAATAAAACATCGTAAAAAGTCGAGCAGAGTAGCAAGTAGTTTTGATCTATCGATTTAAACTAATAAATTAAGACTAGTTCTACTGTGTTACTTTGCTGATATATTTTAAGTTGGAAAATTTCTTGATTTATTGTTTAAGAAAAAACAACTAGTCGCATATTTTTCTTAAAAGTCGAATGTACCACCCTAAATGACACAACAAACTATGCCAGGACAGCATATGGCAATTGATTGACACAATCACTAATTTTTCGTTGACAATTATTTGAGGTTGAACTTTTCAATGGTATCGCTTTCGTTGTACTTACTATCATCAACATACCGATCCAGCAAATAACTACTAATTGAAGCGCATGATGCATAATCGGATAATATTATAAATATTTAAGGTCTCGATTGATAATAAGAAAAACAATAATATATATAATTTATTTTTATAGTTTTTCTAATTGTTACATTTGACTTGATTAACATTGATCTATTGATATATTAATTCATTTTAGTGTAACGAGAAAAAGAAAACATTTGATTATTCAACATAGATTAATATCGATTATTTTATTTTGTTTAATTGTTAATTGATAAATATTCAATTATAGACTAGTTATTCAAAAATACTTTCGATAGATGATTATCACATAAAAAAGAATCTGTTATTAACTAAATAGTTTCTTTCTTTAGGATTTTTATGTTGTTCAAATAACAGCAACACTGTAAACAAGAAAAATGAAAAAAAAAATACTCCGCGGCGGGGAATCGAACCCCGGTTTCCCGCGTGACAGGCGGGGATACTAACCACTATACTACCGCGGACATTTTAATTTCAATATAGATAGTTTAACTAGGAGAACTTTTTTCGTTAGTCACTTTAAAATATTTAAATATACAATCATTAAATTAACATATTTCACTTATTTAGAGAAAAGAAAATTTAATTGCTTAGTCTTTTTTTTATTCACATTTCTATTTATATAAAAACATGTCTTTCCTTACATCAAAGCTAATGACAAAATATTTGTTGCAGCAAATCGAACGAGTTATAAACGACATTTTGAATAATAGAATGATATTAGACAAAGAAAACTGATCTCCAAGCTAATTTCAATTACTCTGATCTTCGAATTCAATAATTTATTCTTTTGTCATAAGAGAAGTTTTTTTCTATAATAGAAAACCTTTTTGAAATAATTCTATTTTAAATGTTCAATCAATCGATTATATATAAAAGATTTCTCTGATTGAATAATAAAACAAATAATTGACTGGTTTTGTAAAAATTATAACTGAAATTCGTTAAATTTCAAAGATTTTGTAATAAAAATATTTTCTTTAATGAAAATAATAAATTGAGTACAGAAATGATCGACCTCTATCGAATTGATACTGTTGGTTTGTATCGATATCCACTCGAAAAAAGAAAAGAAATAATTGAAAAGCTCTTGAAGTTGATGTAAATAAATAAATCTTTAAATATTGTACCTAATGGCAACAGGAAAATCTCAAGGAGTTCCTAGTTCAATTAGTAACTCTAATACAGCAACTGGAAGAACTAAAGAAGATCTTCCTACTCTCAAAAATAAAGTCGCTGAAGTATAAAAGTTCTTTATTTGAAATTATTATTTCGTTTTTTTTTGTTTTTTGTTTATTAAGCTTGAACGTCAAGTTGCTGATTATAAAGTAAAATTGGATGAATTACGTCGTGCTAAAGCTACAACTGTAGTTAAATTAGAAAAAGAATATGTTAATACAAATATTCCTGGGTTTGTTTTTATTATTAATTTCTATTATTTATTATAATGAATGAATGAATTTATTCATAGAGTAAATCGTCCTGAAAAGACAAAATCATGTGAAAAATGTGAAGAACTCGATAAAATGTTGGATGCGGAAAGAAAATCAAGTACACAATTAAAACGATTAATTGAACAAAAAGAAAATAGCAAACAACAACCATCATCAACAAATTCTGGTTCATGTACAAAATGTTCCGATTATAAAAAATTATTAGATATTGAAAAACAAAATAATTTACAATTAAACGAACAACTCAAATTCGAAAAACAACAAACACAAGAAGAACGAAATGCCAAAGAGGTTTTTCTTTCTTAAAAAATTAATTTTTATATATTCACTCATATTTATTTGTCAAGGAACTCGAACGGGCATTCGACATGGCACAATCGGACTTAAGTGAAGTGAAAAATTTATGTGAAGCATTGCGTGTTGAAAATCAAGATTATCAAGTTTGTTGTTTAATATTATTTTTTTTTTTTTTTATTATATTGAAATAAATATTTCGATTTTTATAGAAAGCATTTGATACTATGAAAAAAGAACATACAGAAAAAATGGCTGATTTATGTAATCGAGAAGAAGAAGCAAAAAAACAAGTAAACTTATTTTCATTTATTTATTTATTTATTTTCTACATTATTAAATAAAGGTCGCTACTTGGGAACAAATGTATCGAGAATGGATGGCGACTATGGAACGAAGAGTCAATAATTTACAAGTTACTAACGAAGAACTTCAAGTATGTGTTTTATCTGACGAAAGAAATATAAAAAGTAAATTTATTTAAAAAAAAAAAAACCCTTGTGTAGACATGGTTACATGATGATAATGAAATAAGTCCACATCGTCGTACAGGTGGTGGTGGTGGAAGTAACAATCGTCGATGAATAAATTCTTCCTAATCTCGTTAATAATAATAATAATAATAAACATTCCATGCTTTTAACAATCATGTGTGTTTTGTTTTGTTTTGTTTTTTCTAACTAATCTCATTTATATATACATATATACACGAGAATTATTTTCCGTCCATTTTTGTGCCTTATTTTAAAAGTAAAATAAATAATTTTTGTTTTGTTTGTAGATGTAATATTGTAAATTGAATATCTTCCATAATGAGTAAGTTAATTAAATATATAAATATAATTATAAAATTTGTTTTTTTATTGTTGTTATTAAAGTATCTTATCCATTACGTGAATATATATCATCAAAAAAAGATGATGATTATCATCAATCTCTTTCTTCATTAAATTATTCATCAACTATAACAAAAAATTATTTTCAAGTAATATTTATTTTTATTTTATTTAAAAAGAAGATTTTTGTTTTGTTTTTTGTTAGAGCAATTATTGTATTCGATTTATTTATTTTACTCTTTTTATTATTCTGTTATTTATTTTTTCTACATTTTATTCATATTATTCTTATATTGATCCAACTTGTTTTAATAAAGAATGTACAGATTTTGTGGTTAGTTTATTTCAAAGGTTTTTTTTTTTGTTTTTTGAAAATAAAAATAAATATTTCGTTTCATTATTATTTAAAGTGCAAAGCTTATTCCGAAGGTTTAATCGGTGGTCAATTATGTCCGGATTTATGTACAACAAAAAGTGTTCAATTACAAAATTGTTTAGGTGAACATAAACAGTTTGAATCAAGAGTAAGATTAAATATATTAAAGAAATAAATAAAGGAAAAAATTTTCTTTTAAATATTTTAAAATAAATAGTTATTTGATGATAATGAAGGAAATCAAGTTATTCGTTGTTATTTAAAACATCCATTAAGTAAATCCGATCCATCAGGAGATCTTAAACAACATTTTCATTTTCCTGAAGATGAATCAACACTTGAAACACTTTATATTGCACTTCAACAACATATTCAAGTATGATTTGATTTGATTTTTTTTTTGTTTTTTTTTTTTTTCTATATTAAATTTATATTCGAATATTTTAAATTAATAGAAAACAATAAAATTAGATAATTCCGATACTTTAATTGAATATTTAATTGAATTTGCTGATTTTAATAAAGATAATAAAGTAAAGAAAAAGAAAATATTTTTATTTAAAAAAAAAGAAAATTTTATTGTTTTGTTTTTGTTATTAATTAGATAAGTTTATCTGAAGCACGTAGTCTTTGGTCCCTTGTCCAAATAGATGAATTTGTTTATACAATATTATTATCAGATAAAATTTATGCACCAAAAATTCGTGGAACATGTGGACATATATTTGCTATTGAAAAAGTTATTAATTCAAATTTACCTTTTGATGATAAACAAGGTTTTTCATTTATTTTTTTTTAAAAATAATATATATTTCATATTGTTAATTAAATAAATATGTTTAGAATTATATTCATCATCGGAACGACCTAATTGGTTTCAAAGAGTTCGATTAGCTATTGGAATAATTGAATTTTTTAGTGATACATGGCATTATCAAGATACTGATCAACATTTATATTTATGTCAACCATTAATTAAATCATTTGGTTATGATAAAGATTATGAAGCTAAAGTAAGTTTGTTTTTTTTTTATCGAAAAAAAAATATATCAAATTAATTTATTTATTTTTTTCGATTTATTTCAAATTATTCATTAAAAATATTTTTTCTAGTATTAACAGATTCTTTTCGTTAGTATATTATTCATTATTTTAAACAGAAATTACTAATCGTTTTACAATTTAAATCTAAGATTGCACTATATGCAGCATGTTAATCAAGTTTTTTTCAACTGATTTTATATAAATATAGAAAACGACATTTTTTCGTAGGCATTAGATAGTTGCAACATCAATTTTCTACTCAAGTTGATGACTTTTTTTTACCTTCTTAATCTCGAAATGAAATCAAAGTTGTCGATATTTTGTTAGTGGTTGGAAGAACTGAAGATTCGAAATAAAGTATTTTCATCCTCAAAATGTTACAAGTTATAAGGAAGGAAAGGCGAAGAAAAAACCTTATTGTTGTCCAACTTCTCCTGGAAAAGATCAGCTGTCAGTAGATCATCCTTCTCATTGGATCTGTTCTAATCCTATTCAGTTCTCAATAAACATTATCTGCTTATTTTTAAATTAAGAATTTTAGCAGCAAGTCGAATATTTAAGATGTAATGAAGTTCCTATCTCCTTTCATAATCAACAACTCTAGACAAAATAATTCGACAAGAACAATAGGTTCTTAACATTCTCAATATTTTATAAAAAAAAAAAACCAATAATGAAAATTGATATAGATCATTTTCAATCACTTTGTTGTTATATTCAACCGAAACGACAGAAAATATTTGAAAAGTGTCTTAACGATGCCAAATTAGAATAAAATTTCATGGATTTCACCAAAAATGAAAAGGTTCATAGAAGTGAAAATAATTGATAAAGCAACATATACTGATGCTTTGGATTTTTCTAATAATGGTTAAATGTTGAATATTTAAGAAACTTATAAAAATGCCTATAATGATAATATGTCATATCCATTGAGTAATAGATTTTCTAATTTTGAATAAAATCAGTAGAACTACGTAAAACATTCTGTGAAGAGTTTGATATTTAACTTGACATGATTGATTTTGTGATGACTAAACAAATTTAACTAATTAATAATTTTTTTCATTTGAATATGATCCGTAAATTTCACTAAATAAAATATATTCGATGTTTATACTAAATCAAGTTAATACTGGAAAAAAAATTTTCTTTTTCACTATTAATTATTCATAGAAATAAAGTTAAACTAATAAAAATTTTGAAAGATTTTTTAATATTTTTTTTTAAAATTTTTATTTTTGTAAATAATAAATAAAAATAAAGATTTA